AACATTTTCTTCCCCATATTTCAGGTGCAGATTTTCCATTAGCCAGTCTGCTATTTGCTGCAATCCCACCTTTTGTGTTCCGTTTTCCTCCTCTCCTTCTGTGCCTATTGTGCCTACTGTGTCTTTTGTTGCTGTTTGTGCTGATTGGTCTACGTCCTCTTCTTGGATGTCAGTCATTTCCACCTCCGGAGGGGAGGGGGTGGGGGTGGACCCCGGGATAGTTTCTATCTCTATTGGCGCAGAGCCGAAGGCTTCTTCGAACAGGTCTTCAGGAGCCCGCTGTGTGTCGCCCCGGGAGTGGCCCCCGCTCAATTCCGTTTTTTCTTTTTCTGGCCCAGGGTGGAGGAGGGCGAGTGTCTTTTTTGAGGGGTCGGGTTCCCCTTGCTGTTGTGCCTCCTTCCGTTTTTCGTTTAATTGTTTGCCTGTTGGCAGATTTCCATTGCTGTCGGTCCCCAATTCTGGTTCCTTTGTCCCCCTTAAGGCAGTTTGGTTAGCTGCTTGGACTGCTTGTCTTTCCCTTGGGGGGGGGTGTAATTTGAGGCCAGGTGTTTTTGCATCCAGGGTTTTGGCGGACTGCGGGGCTTTTTCAATTGTTGGGGGCGCCTTCCTTTGGGGCGGTATCCATTCGTTGGGAGGGCGTGTTGCTCTGCACGGGTCCCCCCGTCCTTCCTAGGTCCAACCTTTGGGTCATCTCTCGGGTTCCAGGTCTTCTAGGTACACCCAACCTTCATGACCCCGGTCGACTGTGGTCCATCTGTTGGGTCTGCGCGGGTCCTGTTGGAGCCGACCAGCTTTTGGGCCCCTCTTGTTGGGATGTTGGGGGCAGGCAGACTCCGTACACAAATGACCGTACGCCCTGCACTTGAAGCACCACGGCCTGAACTTGTGTGCAATGTGAATTTGGTAGACCTTCCCTCCCAGTCTGTAGGGGATTATGTTGTCCATGAAGAAGGGTTGGTTCTTGGGAAGACGATGATCAAGTGTCAGCATCATGTATTCATCACGTTTCGCCACATAGGACGGGAGCGGGTCAATGAAATCTACTATATTGTACTGTTGACCCAGATCATGGACAAATGCGGCCTGCACCTCCACCGGAATGTGTCTCATTTCCACCCAGACAAAATCTTTCATAAGTTGTTCCCTTTTCTCCTTCGGGGACAACTTTTTTGGTTGCCATGGGTATATGCGCACCTCTGATCTTTCCCATTTTATCTTCCGCCATCCAGTGTATACGGCCGTACAAATACTGCCCGTCTGTACATCCGGACGTCCGTACGTACAGGCCCACCGGCGCCCGTACGGCCCGTACGTACGGACTTTGGGCCCTCCGTACGTGGCCTTCTGGGGGGGTGTTGAGGGGGTGGATGGGCTGGAGGGGGGTCGGGTGGCAGGGGGTAGAGGAGGTTGGAACTGTGATGATGCACCTACCCTCGTTCCAGCGGAATTTGATTGAATCAAATATGAAGTGGGGGAGTTCGCCTCCGCCCCGTGAACACACACACCCACACACACCCACACCCACACACACACCCACACATGCATGCGGGGCAACTGCCCGTTTTTTTTTGCTACCAAATTCTTTTTTTTTTAATTTTTTTTTTTTTTTTGAAAAATCCTCTTTAAGGCCAAAAAAAAGGAAAAAATATATGGGGTTGTAGATCTCAAAAGGATCTACAACCAAGGTAGTCACGCCGACGGTCGGCGGCCCTGGACCCGTTGGCGGTCGACGAGCCGACGGTAGGCGCCCTCGGCACTGACCGGTTGGCGACTGGTAGCCACCAGGGTTGTCGAGCCCCGGCCCCGGGGCCCCGGCGGGGGTCCCGGGGGCCGGGGGTCGGCACCCCTGGCCTCGGCAAAAAAAGTAAAAAAAAAA